GACTGCAGGGCAAGGAGTGACAGAGACAGTTTTAATCAAGCTAGTTCAGGTAGCAATTAGTAGCAGGTGTTGTGCCAGGCCACCTGTTAATGTCAAGGTCCTAAAGTCACAGGAGAACATAGCACCCAAATTTAATGTGTGGCCATAATGTCATTGCTGGAAGCTGACTGCCGCTGTGCTACTTGAAGAGCTAAGGGAGATTGTGGATATGGAAGTTTTCAGGCAGTCCAGAAGTGACTGAACAAGTTCATGTAATCTCTCAAGGGGTGCAGCTTCTGCTGGCTCAGGATGTCTCTGAAGCACCAGAGGCAGGCCAGTGTGATGCCATCCTGGCCATGTACTACTCCTGGCTGGCCCTCACCCAGCACCCACAGGGGACAGGACTGAAAGTTAAAAAAGACCTTTGGACTGACCCAGCAAAGGTCTTTTCTTGTGGTATGCTTCTCCTAGAGGCAGACTGTTTCTGAGGAAGAGAGCAGCTCTTGGCTTTGCAATCTGAGTGTGGTTTGCTGTGAGTGGAAGCAGCACCCTGCTTTTGTCCTCTCCTTCTGCCATCTCATCCAAGTCCCACCATTCTTCTTGCTACGTCTTTTCCTACGCTCTTCACAGGAGTAGGAGTAGTATTTGAGCCATCTCACACACACATGCACACAAAAGCTTTACAGCTATACCAGGAAAATTATGGTATAGTAGCATACACACCTATCCTCTCTAGTGAAACCTGGGCTAGCCGAGCTTGCACATAAGAGCATGCAGCAACTCTTCATGCTGCATGGAAGAGTTTGCCTCAGGAGTGAGGCACCAGGTGAAATCACTGAAGTCCCATGCTTAAGGGCCTCACCACCCCTTCTGCATCCCCACTCAAAAGTACATAGAAGTTCTCCCAGAAGTGTCAGGAAAAGAGTCTTGGAGCCTCTCTGTGCAGGGCTAGTATACAGGGCTATTACACACATGCAGGTGAGTAGGAGCACCAAGGTCAGTGGCATGGCTCTCTTTCCCCCATGGTTAAATTTAAGGATGCAGCTAGGGTTACCTGGTCTTGAGGAGAGGAGTGGAGTGGGGGCTTCACATGGCCCCTTCAGCCCTCAGAGAACTATAGCTTTCTAAATCTTGGCCAAGGCTACTCTGTGGTGTATACCAGTGCAGATCACCCAGGGTGAACATGTGGCACGGATAAACCCTTGGAAACATAGGGCACAGCATCCTGTGAGGTTGTTGCAGCATGATGAGGCACTGTAGGGCTCCACCTGCATCTGCACCAGGTATCGAAATGTCTCACATTTGAAGCAGGGAAGAGCAGTGCAGTCATTTTGCCCTTGCTGATTTTCAGTCTGCTCCTTCTTGATTTGCTTAATGGAATCTGACTCGGTCAGCACTTAGGGTCTTAAGTCCCCTAGGAGTTTATCTGTGAAAAGCTGCCAGATATTCATATTCACTCATAATCATCATCATCAGAAACTCAATTTCCTTCCCTGTCTGTGGTGGAAGAGCACTCCCTTGAAAGCTGTTGCGTGGTCAGGGACTTGGCAGGGCTTCCCAATTGCGGTGATTAGCCCGGGATATTGCAGCAAATGCCCAGGCCACAGGCTCAAGGTTACCGAAGCGGGAGAGCGCAGGGAGAGCCCCGAAGCCCCCGGCACGGGCGGAGATGTAGCAGGGGAGCGCAGGCGGGCCGAGAGACGGCTTTTTTGGGGGGGGGTCTCAGCGGGAGGTACCGGGCGGGGGCGGCTCCGGCGGCGGCCGCCAGGGGGCGGCGGAGACCGCGTGCCGGGGCTGCGGGCGGGGCGACGCGGCCTGTCCGCCGGGGCGGGGCGGCCTTCGCAGGCCTGGGGGTCTGTGGGGATGGGTATGAGCGTGTGCGTGGCCACCCGTGCGGGAGGGTAGGGTGCAGGTGCGGGGCATGGAGGGTGAGCGGTCGTCTGTGCGTGTTGGGCGGCGCGGTGGTCGCTGCGGGGGCTGGACGCTCGCCCGTGGCCGTGCGGGTGCCGTGGTGCCCGCGGCGGAGGAGCACGCACCCCACAGCAGGAGAGACAAAAGAGAAGTCACCACGCAAACGTGGGCTGTCACAGCCCAAGCTGTGTCTGGGAAGGAAGGCTGAAAGTGATAGAGTGGACTGAAAATGGGAGCTATTTTCTGCACAAAATCTCACTCGAAATTAATATTTCATTTTATTCTTACGTTTTCGCTCTTTATTACACTTGAGCGATTAGTGTCCCCCAAAAGCCTTTGAGAACTTTGTGATCGAACTATAACCTTTCCCCATTTTTGCAGTACACGTGACAGTAAATGTATCATCCGTGGCATGTACTTAAACCAGTTCTGCTCTAAAACCCAGAGATTACACGTGGCCCCCAGGGTTACATGCAGGGACCACACTGGATGCCAGGCCTCATAGTCAGCATAACACTCTGCCCAACACCTGCACAGCTACACACAGCCCCTTGGTGCAGACAGCTGCTGGTATTAGCGTGAAGTGAGGTGCAGAAGATGATCAGGACTGCACATAAGAGGTGTCTGCAGCAACCCCACCACCTCACTGGCACTCACAGGAGCTTAGTGGGGAAACATGAGGCTGTGTAACTCGCACCATTTTTTAGCTGTGGAGATGGGAGTTCTGGCTTGTCAGATACCCTCAAGCTTATACACACAAGCTCAAGCAGAACAGAAGTGGCCTGACGTTCTCCCAAGTCCTTCATCACACCATGTTTCCTTGGGTGTCCTTTCTTATACCTAAGTGTTGCAGAAGGACATCTCTTTACCATACCATGCCACACCATGCCATGCCTCTGGCCCCCACCAAGCTCACAAACCCCCGATACACTTACATGTACCAAGGCAGCAGTACCCAGCCAAGGCCAGACGTCCCCCTGCCTCCACTGTGCTGGACATGAGTTGCAAGCCACCATCAGTGCATATGCCTTTGCTCTGATTGTATGGGTACCCTGGAAAAGTGGCAAGGAGGAGAATTGCTGCCACATGTGCGTGTGTTACATACATGTCATTGTATGCATTCAAACAAATACTATTTAAAACAAATAGTATTTAAGACAAATAGTAAAAATGTGATGGCAGAAGATTTTGTGTGGGTGATACAGACTGCCTGGTGTGCTCTTGATTATCTGATGGGCCAGAGGAGTCATGTTTTGGAACTTCTTCACTGACAATAAGGGACGCAAATGGTCCCAAACAGCCTCCCTACAATTATTTGACAGTGAAAGATGCTTTCTCTGAAACATAGGTCAGGTAAGGGTAGTAACTGAGTTTAAACGTGTTACTGATCTCAGAAGGGGAAATAAGTTCCTGTCACCCCAAAAAAGGAGTAAAGAACTAGTGTGTGACAAGCCACAAAAGACATGCATGGACTAGCAGAAAAAAGAAGCCATAGATGGAATATAAATTTTCCACAGAGTCCAGCACATACTTTCTTAATAATGAAAGAATAGAATTGGGGCACAGACAGCTAATCTAGTAAGTAACAGCCTCCATTAGGAAGAAATCAGACAAATGAAAGTGCTGAAGAATTTCAGAGGCTCTGGAAATATCCTTCCTCGATTTGCTGCCTTTCAGTCACCAGCTCAAGTTTAATAGTGACCATGCTGCTGAGCATGCCTGTGGCACCCGTGCACCACGCAGTAGAGTGAGGGTCTTCACCTGATAAACTCTGCAGGTTGTGAGAGGGGAAGTTGCACTTTGGTCTCACAGGGCTCTCCTCAACAGGGCCTTTTTTTCTGGCACCCCTCAGATATCAGAATTTGCTTCTCATGGTAGTAAGCATGACTTCTGTCTTCTACAGCACAATCAATTCCAACACAAGAACTCATCTCCATCTCCACACGTCAGCATTTTCCCTCACCCCTTCTGTGTAAAACACTGCACGTACACCCATGTGTGTCTGTATACAGTTATATGTATATGTGTACATGTACACAGGCATGTACATATACATGTGCGTGCATGCATGTGTACATATACATATAAAAAAATGTACATATATGTGTAACCATATGTGCACATATACATGCTGGGCATGCATTTACAGAACCACAACCACGTACATCTCCCTGCCCTATTATAAAGAAAGACTGCCAGAGATTGGTGTTGCAGGGTGAATTTAAAACAGCATCACTGCCGTAAAAGCCATCCAGAAAAGGGGACTCATAAATGAGTGGATGAATGAGAAGATGTCAGGAGTGTTAGCGCTTAATATTCCTGGAGCGAGGCTGCATTATTTGTTGCTGCAGCAGCATGCTCCTCTCTGCCCGCTCTGACAGAGCCTGTGGATGCGCATGCACACATATGCAACTTCATTTCCCACCCTTGTGAAAAATCAACCTCCCTGGCATACCCTGCACCCTCACCCCATAGGTGTCGCGTCACGGGGCCGTAAACACAGTAGCGAAGCCTGCCTTCTCTCCCATTCAGAAACATTTAATTGCAGTGTAGCCTGTATGAGGGAGGGAAGACGTCCGCGTGTTGGCCCCATGTTTTATTGATCAGACCACTGTGATGAATCAGCTCCTGCGGAGCTGGTGTCTCGCTGCAGACAGGCACTGGCCACTGCACACAATTACAGCGAGTCCTGGCATCTCAGGGCCACCACTGGGAAGGTGGCAGAGCGGGCAGCTTTGGAGCTGGTGACTAGGGGCTGTGTCTGCAAAGGTGTGAACCGTGTTCTGGTGTTGGAAGGCCAGCAGTTCCCAGCTGGAGGCGCAGCAAAGGATGGGATGTGCTTAGCAGCTGGGATTGAGCCTTCTTGCTTGCTCCAGCCTGTGTTTAGGGAAAACCACATGCCATTGGAGTGTTGGACAGAGGGAAGGAGCATGCTGAGCAGCTGCCAGGCAGCAGCCTGCACCTGGGCTGGAGGAGCTCACTGAAGTGGGAAGGCGGCTGTGCCCTGCAGCCCCAGCCCAGGAGTGAAGTGTTGTGTTCCTATGTTATTCCCATCTCACCCAGCCATGTGTAATCTTGTCTTCTTTTCTCTCCCTTCTCACACCCTGCAGGACCCGGCACAGGGAGAGTAGACAACGGCTCCATGAGTTTGGCCGTCCCACTGTGGCTGCTGGCAGCGTCCCTGCTCTGCCTACTCAGCAAATGTTAATACAGATCAGAATTAAAAATAATAATATTAATAATAATTAAAAAAACAACACGACAACGACAACAACACACAAAACAAAATGCGTTATACAGGAGACAGAGCGAAGAGAGGGGAGAGAGAAAAAAGGGGGGGGGAGAGAGAGAGACGACTGTTTCTTTCACAACTTTTGTGTGTTCAGGAGCGAAGAGGGGGGAGAGGAAAAATTACAGCAAAGAAGACTCAGCAACATTTAATCCAAAACCTGAAAAGCCGGCTGTCAAGTCACTGACTGTCTAGGAGGCAACACGAACCAAGGGAGAGAATGGGGCACCAGCAAGGATCGCGTCGCCGGAGGATGCTGCAATGTAAACAATCCAACAAAACCCATAAAGCCAATCAAACAGAAGATCCCTTTTCTTTTCTCTCCTCCTTCCTCTTTTCCATACTTCCTCACCTTCCTTCCTTCCTTCCTCCTCTTTCTTTCTTTTGCAGAAAGAGGTCTTTGCTTCGGTGTCTATAGCCATTTAACTTTTGGGATGCCCTGGGTCATTTTTGTGAGCTAATGCTCAGCCAGTTCATACTTTTGAAAACAAAATAAAAAAAAAAAAAAAAAGAGAAAAGGAAAAAAGAGAAAAAAAAAGCCACAAACCAGAGCAAGTCACCTGAAGCTCTCTGCACACTGGTGTCCTGTGAAGAACTCTTCCTCTCTTCACTTCACCCTGCGCTTATGTGCACCCAGCCCTTGCTAAACACCTTTTTTCCTGTCCCTTCCTTCATGCAACATCGCCCTTGCTGGCCTGAACTAAAGCTGTGTCAACTCTACTGAAAGCCTACTTTTCTTTTTTTTTTAAATCCTCTTCCTCTCCCTCCTCAATTCAACCAGATGTCTTTCTCTTTCTCCTGTGTATGCCTGCGTGCGTGCGTGCGTGCATGTGTGGCTCTCGCTCCGTCTTCACTCTTTCTCTCTTTCTCTTCCTCTCTCTAAGCATGCAAAATGAACAGTCCATGTGTACATATGCTCATCCTGCTGTAGATAATGTCCTGCCTTGTAAGTGTGAGACAAGATGCAGAGAGATCACTCAGGCAGAGAAGAGGGGTGAGGAGAGAGGGGCAGTTGCAACACAGATTCCAGTGGTGTCCTCTCTCCAGCATCCTCATTGGCTTTTTAACTTCTGGCCACCTTGCTTGCAAGAGTCAGTCTGCACCCTTGTCTACCCTTTTTTTCTCTCCCACCTGCAACCTGTCTGGCTCTCAGCCTCTAAGTACCAGCATAGCAGCCCCTGCTATGCATGAGTGCTTGCACACGTGCATGGGGGTGTGCACTCATGTGCAATTGTCCAAACAAGCAGAAGAAACCAGGACTGGCCTACAGCACTATGGACTGAAGAGTGCAGTCACCCATTCCTCCTGGGAATGGGAGGCTGAGCTGGTGGGATGTGAGTGATGAGACCTTGGACATCACCAAGCAGCCATTCCTTTTAGGTATAGTGTGTGCATAGGAGCAATGCCTCAACATGAAAACAGCAATCTGGTCATTCCTAACCATTTTGGTAGTCATGCAAAAATAGAGCCAATACTCTTTTTTGTTGTTTTGTTGTTTTCATTCTTACTGTCCTCCCTGGTATAAAAGGAAATGTAGGCTGTGTGAGAGGGTGAGTGTGCGTGTGCATGTTTGTGTGCTGTACACCATTGCTACCACAAAACTCACTGCAAATTCCACATTTGAAACAAATTTGGTCAGAAAATGTCCAAGACCTGTGAATGGAAGAAGTAAAACAAATCTCTGGTCCAAAATCCTGGGCTTATAAAGAAGGAGCTTAAAGTGGTTCAGCAAAAAAGTGGGCAGCACAATTCCGCTTTCTCTTCTCTTATCTCAAGGGTGCTGGTCTTGCTGGAGAGTGCTGTTGCTTGCCATCACACTTCCCATGGCAGAACCACATGCAGAGGTGCCAACAGGAGATGCTTTGTGGCTCTCAAGTGAGGAAAAGGAGAGAACAGGCTGTTAGAAACAGGGCTGAGAAAATGCTGAGTGGTGGCTGGAAGTTGCCACACCAGCACAAGGTCTGCTGCAGGAGGAGAGGGCAAGACAACAGTCATACTCTCCAGTGGCTGCAGTGCATGTGTGTGGGCAGGGGCAGTGGGGAGAAGACTCCTGTGTCTCCTGGCCAGTCACGAGCCCTAGTATCCACCAGCAGCAAAGATGATGAAAAAGCCACTTGCTTTTCTGGGGAGAGGGATGTGCAGGAAGAACTTGAGTTAGCCCACACAAGTTTAGTGACCATCCCATGACAGTACAGTGTTTTACAGGTGCTCAGCACCACTGAGCTTCCAAGCACAAGCCAGCTTGCTTTTCTGTCTTTGCCCTGCAAGTTGGCACAGTAGCAGCACGTCAGGCAGTCACGCTCACACGCTCTTGAAAGCAAGGGGAAAATTGCTTGGCCTTGCCACTCTCCACTGTGCTGGAGAGGATACCTACCGGGTGGTCCCCTGCCAGGAAGGAAAGTGGGAAATTGCTGCCTGCAAGCCCCGTCCCCATCTTTACGTGAGTGGGGCACAGTCTGATGAGGCTTCTCCCTGCTGCTCAGCCTGATGCTTTCGCCTTGCACTGCGGCACTGCCGACCCTGCCCCCTCGGTGCTGAGCTCAGCTGTTTGAGGCAGCAGCAGGCACACAATTAAGCAGGCAGTCAAGGGCTCCTCACAGGCAGCCAGAATGAGGGAGGAAATTTATTGAAGACACAGGAGGCTGAAGTTAGGGCGTTACAGGAGTTGCTACAGAGCTACTGTGGCATTGCATGGTGGTAAATTATGCTCCTCCAGACCCCAAAGCCATATCTGGAGGTGTTTGTGCTTTGGTGCAAGAGGGGAAAGCTGGGCAACTGGTGCTTGAAATCCACTCGAGGCATCCACGGATGGCTCCCCTCTTCCAAGATAGGGCAGTCATTGGTGGGACTTGGGCATCTCCTTTGGAGACTGTTGTGCCTGTGGCGGCCCAGGAAGAAAATGCCCTGTATCCTTCAGAGCATTCAGACATCCCACTCCTTGTGCCTACCCTTAAGGAGAGTCATGTAATTCGGTGTCTTAGTAACATATCCAGATTTCCTGCTGCAACAGGGCTCCTCTTTCCCCTGGTACAACCATGAGCTGATGCTGTTTCTAGAAAGCCAGATCTGGGAACTGCACCCTTTTGAGCACGCTGGCACAAGGGAAAACACCACATTGCTCATTCTTGGTGCTGTACCTATACCTGGATTTATTGTTGCAGGCTTGGTGTGAAAGGTGGGCAGCCTGCTATGTCCTGCTGTCACAGGCTGTTCCTAAAGGCTGGGTAGGCCCACTTTAGGTTCTTTGATGTCAACCTGGTTGCTGTTGTAGCGTCTGTCCCATGTGTTGTCCTCTGCATGTGTTTTTGTCACTGTGGGATCACTCCTAGGCACTGGGATCACACACATCAGAGCCCTATGGTGTGGTGGTGGTCACAAGTCCTGATACTTCATTGTCTCACACCTGTTTTGGTTTGAAGGAGTTTTGAGGGGATATTTTTTAGATGTCAAGACAGAGAGGCTTATGGTTAAAGGGAAATATCTCACTAAAAGCAGGACATCCATTTTTTGAAGCCACCTGCCTGTTAGCTGGGGGAAATGGACACAGCCCTGGTGCTGTGTGTGAGGGATCTGGTCTTTCATACAGGCCCTTGGCAGATCTTTGCCTCTGTTGGATGGCTGTGAAATAGGGCTAAAGCCAATTATTTGCAGACCTGTCTGAGACAAGCCACCAATAACAAGTATGCCTGTTGTCTGCAGCAGTGCTGGGAACCCCGCTCCTGGCAATGTCTGTTCCTAGTAGGGTTGAGGGTGTCATGGGTAGGCTGGAGCTTGATTCACTCCTAGAATCTAATCCTGTGAGCTGCAGTGTGCATCATAGGATGCTGTAAACATCCCCCAATTTCTCCTGAACTCGGGCAGTGATTGCTCAAAGCATATGTCAAGTGGTGAGGCTAGATGAATATAGGAAACACAGGAGAGGTCAAATGCTTTTTTCCCACTCCCTTTCTCCCCTCCACCCTGTGACAGAGATGTTGCGAAGGTTTTTCTCATGTCTCAGTCCCTTTTCTCTGAAATTGTTTCTGCTTTTCATCTATTCTCCGCTTTCATGTTGCTATCTTTCCCATTCTCTCCCAAAAAGCTGGGCTCTTACTTCCTGCTGCCTCTCAGGCAGTTGAGGACCAGGAAAGATGGGAGTTTGGAATGGGACACCAGTTCCTTGAGCTTGTCAGTGTAATTGTGTTTGATTGATGGAGATTTAACATTTAGTGTTATAAAAAGAGAAATGAACAAAATGAAAAAAAAGAAAAAAAGAAAAAATTGTATTTCTTCAACTTGTTTGTAAATATTACAAGAACTACATGAGATGTCTGGTAATGTCCAAGCAGAGGAACAAATATTTAGATTTAATATATGGCCCCATACTTGCTAGCAGATTTCTAACCCTTTTCGGATGACTGAGAGGAGGAGTAAAGGCAAGTCTTTCTGAAAGGAACTGGACAGGGGAAGTGCAGCCACCCCAAGCCACATGAACTCCATGCATGATTGTAGCATGTTGCTTGGAGCGTGTGCCTGGTCAGATGGAAAACGAAGCAAACGCCTGTCTCTGAACGGCTGGGAAGGGCAACATGGGATGCTCCAGCCGACACCTGTATCTTGGCAGTTGTGTTCATTTTTGTTTGTCTGCAGCCCCGTAGCTTGGGGGCATGTTGCTCAGTGATGCACCCCCCTCCTCCCCCCACTGCTTTCTTCTCCAGTGAAGTTGTGTCGCCCCATGCTAGCACCGAGTGCATGTTAACGTGCCATTCATGAAGATTTCATTGGTGACATGCATTGTGTCGAGAGTTAGTCTTTGTCCGCACATCTTTCTCACGCCACTGACTGTTCACCACTTGGGCAGATCTCTCGTGTAGTGCTGTTTGCCCCACTTTTGGTCAAAGTATATCCAAGCCCCACCAGCTCTTCTTAGCTCCAGGTGCATCCAGACCATGCCCCCAGGCCACCTGTCTAAGCAACCCCATTTTGAAAGTCCAAGCACACAGCATGGACAAAGTCACCATCAATAGCCACATGGGCTCCAGACTGAGTGGTAGCTACACATCTGGAAGGAATTTGGGGGAGCAGCAGTGAGTCCCGATGATACAAGAGCTTTTGGGGAAGAAGATTTGGGAAGTCAGAGGAGTTATACTAGAGTCCTTCACAGCCCCACCACCAGGTGATGTTCCAGCTCAATCTTTCTGCAGTGTTTCATCGCTTCGCCCTTTCCTGATGAGGGAATCTGCAGGCACAGGGAAAAAGCTCTTCTCCTCCCAACCCCTCTCACACCTCTGCTTCCTCTCCTCCAAGCACACTGACCTGCAGCCCAAATGCTGATGGTGCTTGATGTGACATAGTAAGTGACACAGAGGATGGCTGACCAAGACAGTCCTACAGAGGTGGTGCTAGAGGGGTGAGCAGTTCTCTCTCTCTCTCTCTCTCTCCTGATGGTGCACAATCTTACTGCTTCTCTGACTCAAGTACACAAAACTTATTGATTTAGGGATGCCGGGAGCAAACTGTTCTATGGGAAGAGGAAAACTTCAGGCAGAGAAGTGATGGAGAAACTGGATGGTAATTTCCAAGATGTGGTGCCAGTGAAAAAGGGTAGGGATGAGTGCTGTCCGTTGTCCATGCACAGAACTCTCAGGTTCACCAGTGAGGAGACCATGGCCTCTCAACACTAATCTTAGAGTGGCTTCATTTCCAGTGCGATGCCCAGAAGATGGGTTTTTTTGACTGCATGACTCCTGCTGACTAAGAGCTGTGTCACACCATTAAAACCTCTTTCACTTTTCCTTCTTGTAACATGCTAGAATGATAATTGGCAAACTCCCACAGCCCCCAAAATTTTGCTTGATGGTTGGCTCCCATTAGGGCAATATATGGTGTTTGGTTGTTGGTTCACTCACCGTAACAGGAAAGCAGAACTCATCTTGGTTAGGATATGTTGGTATGGTCCTCTGTACCTCTGTGGCTTGGATTGATGTGTATGAGGAAGGAGACCTACCAAGGCAGGGCTTGGGAAAGAGGAGCAGATCTCCTGATTAGCCCAGGCAGGCGGGAAGCAAAGCGTCCTTCACTTGCTGCAGGCTCAGGTTAACTGGTGCCACAGCAACTCAGACTGCCCTGCAAGCCTTGTAGAAGTGCCCAGGCAGTGGAGGAGGAAGGGGCAGTGACAGTCAGGAGGACATGACTGCAGTGCAGGTGATAGGGCTGCATAAGCAGCAGGGCTTCTTGGGTAGCATGGCTGAGGAAGGGACAGACACTGCATCCCAGAAGGGCCATTCCCAGGTAGGGCAGGCCCTTCCTTCTCTTGCTATGCTCACGGTGCATCAGGAGCTCCCTCCTGGCCTCACAGGGCATGCTGACTGTGTTGCAATGGGCCTCACGAGTGATGCAGTGTGACACCACAGTGGCTCCAGCCGTGTCCTGAGAAAAGGCATGTGAATGTTTCTGTACATAACATAGGGCCATGGATGGAGACAAGGAGCAAGGGCTACGTAGGAGCCAAGCAGGGAGGGGAGCACCTCCCAAGCAGGGCTGTCCTCCAAAATTATGACATTTGCTCCCCATTTGGCCACGCACAGGCACGTACGCACACCCCCGTGAGCTCCACCATGCACATGCCGTAGTAGTCCTCACGGCTACCATACAGATGCTCTCCTTTCCCACACTCTCCATCACACACACGGCCAGACAGGCATTCATCCACTTGCTCCTGGCCTGGCTCTGTCTGTAACCCACACAGCTACTGGTGACCTCCTGAGGAAACCAGGAGAAAGTGTGTGTGTGCCTGTGCCTGTGCATATAGGAGCACCTGTGTGTGCCTGGAAAGGGAGGAGGAGGCAAAAAGCGGGAACCTGCCTCCTCAGTGCCACCGTCACCTCCCATAGTCATTCAGCTTTCCCAGCTGGAGCCAAGATTCATCCTCTAGACCTTGAGAATGAAGGCCAGTCCCTTCTTCTTGCTACACGGTGGGGTGGTTAGAACTCTCCTCATTAACAGTGTTATATACATATAAATATATATATATATCTATATCTTTATATATATTTTTCCCCAGCACTGTAGACATGAGCTGAACTTCTCTTTAATGAAACGAGAAAATGGCCATTTAATTTTTTGCCATTGGTTTGTTTTTGAAACTAGCTCTGTGAAAGAAAATTTTAAAAGCGCAAGTGTGTGTGTAAAAGAACCGATCAAAAAACTAAACAACTCAACAAATGAATGAACAAAACCCAGTGATGGAAAAAAAAAAGAAGCTTTTTATTTTTTCTTTTCTCAATGTATTTAACTTCTGTTATCTCGTTTCTGTTTCTTTACATGTATGAATGCTCTGCTCTTCTGTGATCTTAAAAAAAAATACAAAAAATACAAAAATTAAATAAACGTGAAAAGGAGGTACTGTTTCCTGATTTCCCCTCCCTTCCTTGCATATTCTGGCTTTCCTCCTCTCTGATCATGTCTAGTGATGACTTCCCAGCCCACCTGGGGAATGTGGGCCAGGCTGCCCCTTCCTTCACTTTTCTTGGAGGGCCACGGTGGTACAGGGCTGCAAGAGAGGCAGGGGCCAGTGCCTTGGGACTGAGGGTCCTGGGTCACCCCCAGCAGACTGGCCCCTGCAGTGCAGTGCCTGGGGGTGAAGGGAGCAGGCTGGCTGTCAATAGGTGTGAGTTGGGGCTGCCAGGGTGGGGGAGGGAAGGGGAGGTTAAGGGACGGGAGTGGAGGGGAGGAGCCATGGGTGGAAACTGCAGTGCCCAGCCCTGAAGTCAGCACTTGCCTTTGGCTCCTGCAAAAAATCTTTTTTTTTTTTTTTTTAAATTAAATAGCATGATTGTATGTGTATGTGCAGATAGAGGCTGGGATCAGGGTTGCAGTCTCAAGAGGGGAAGAACAAGGCAGCTGGTGGAAGGGATGGGCTGAGGCTGAGCTACATAGGCGAGCACAGGACAGGAGCACCAAAATACAGAGCATGATAGCGGAGGTGGTGGAGACAGAGGAGGAGGCCGGTGGGGAAGGAGGTGGGAAATAACTGGCCAAGAAAACAGAAGGACAGAGAAGGACATCATAGAACTGGAGAAGCAAGATTTTATATCAAAGAGGGAGTGGGGAGACAGGGGAATGGAGAGGGCCTGGGGCTTGAAGTGAGGGCAGCCAGGACAAGGGGAAGGAGGGCAGAAGTCTAGTACCACGGGCTCAAGCAGGCATGAAGGGAATAGGTTAGAAGAAAGAGAGCAGGAAGGAAGGGGTGGCAGAGTAGCCCAGGCAAGTTTTCCAGGAAACACAGCCAAGGAGATGAAGAAACCAAGAACTGGGATCCAGAAAACCTGTTGAAAGGAGCACCTGGGCTTTTTAAATGTGAGGGTTGGAGAACCCCGGTCATCTACAGCCAGATAACTCCAATGGTGGCATCTCTCCAGAATGTCTCTCCATCTGGCTGTCACAGCCTGGCATCACTGTCCTTGTCCCAGTGGGAGAACCACAGGTGGCACAGGGCAGCAGTGTGACAGGGCTGGGGCAGCCCAAGGGTGGAGCCCAGCAGGTAACAGGGCAGCATGTGTCTGCACCCAACACCAGAGCAGCAGCACAAGGCTGCACGTGGCTGGGTTCAGCTTGGGCAGCAGGAGAGCCTGCCTGCAGCTCTGTGAGGGAGGTAGTCTTGTCCTTGCACACTGCTGGAGTGTGAGAAACCAGGTCTTATTTCTGGGTCTACTCTGCCGAGCACCTGTGTGGTACCTTCACTGCCTCTATGTCACCTTCCACCTTCTCTGCTGTTGCCTGTTTCACTGGGGTAAAGACTCGAGACCTACATACAAAAGAGGGGTATATTCTATGAAAAGTTTTATCTAATTTTATTTCTAGAACATAACACATAGGACAATGAAAGCCTTGTTTTCAGTAGAGTACAGACTTGTTTCTTAAATTGCATGACATTAAATAAAATCTGATCTATGAGCACTAGGGGCAAGCAGGATGGTGAACATGAACATGACTAGCCCTTACCACACCTTTGCTACTTGAGACGGAAGAGAAGCGATGGATTATGAACCCTCCTCCATCACCATCATTCTTTTCCATGGTGCTGGGAGAGTCAGGGAGCAGAGCATGGAGAAACACCGGCAGAGCTGCTGGGGGGAGTCCCAGGGAGGGGGAGTATCACTGTGCTGTATGGATATTAAAGTCTGTACTGAGCTTTGTTGGCTGATTGCTGAGGTGGAAACAGGCCAGGTTTGTGATGCTGTACATCGATGACACCAAGCACTGCCAGGGCTCCATCTCGATGTCTGCTCTGAACACACCTGGAAAAGCTGTCCTTGCCTTTTCACCTCCACCACCTTAAAGCTGAGGCTAAAAAGAGGACGGGATAAACCCTGTCAAGCACAACCTCTCTTTTCATTAACATTTTAAATGGTTGTTTTTAATGGTACATTTAACTAACACTAACTTATCCATGGGAAGGGAATTTGGCTGTTAACACTGGCATCTGCTTAACAAACTGAAGCTTTGCATTTGGTGAGGCGTGAGCATAACACCAATAGTACTGCTTGCTAACAGCAGACTCATTAACACTAATTCCTGCTTTTACTACCCTGAAGAGCTTTCTGTGTCTGTAACAGCAATTATTAGATGTACCCCCTTCTTACTGAAAATGGTACATAGGAAATTATTAGCACTAATGCAGACCTACCAGTAAATGAGGATCTAAATTCTTAGCACTTACCATAACTCAGAACTTCCAGAAGAGTAAGAAAAACGATGAAATATTCTGAGGACTGTGTTCTTCATCTTTTCTCACTGGAGAACTATGTTCAAACACAACTAAATTGCAATTGGATGTTCTTTAGGGGTTACATTGCTCAAAGGCTAGAGGTAAATGTGTGTCCATAAAAATATCTTGCAATTCAGCATAGACTTTCTATCCAAAGCAGGCATTTTCAGAATGGGCAAAGAGCTGGGTTTAGAGAGAGAAACTCTGATGGATGAAACCAGATCAAATTTGCCACAGCTGTGCACTTGTTGGCACTATTAAGGTTGACAGGACTTGTCACTTGTGCCCACCAGCAGCTGGAAAGACAAGGCAGCATATTTGTCTTAGACACACCTTATTTTGATATGTGGGATGTGTAATAAGGAATTTTTTTTCATAAAATTTTGGAAAATGTGACATTTCAGGCTGAGAAGCACAGAAGCACAAAATCATTAAGGTTAGAAAAGACCTCCAAGACCATCAAGTCCAACCACGTCAACTAAACCATAGCACTAAGTGCCACATCCAGTCGATTCTTGAACACTTCCAGGATGGTGACTTCACCATCTCCCAGGGCGGCCCATTCCAATGCTTAACCACCCTTTCAATGAAAAAATTCTTCCTGATATCCAACCTGAATATCCCCTTCCATAGCTTGAGGCTGTATCCTCTTGCACTAATTGCCTGAGAGAAGAGACCAACTCCCACTTGGCTACAACTTCCTTTCAAGTAGTTGTAGTGGGTGATAAGATCTCCCTCGAGCCTTCTTTCTTCCAGGCTAAGTAACCCCAGCTCCCTCAGCTGCTCCTTGGATGACTTGGATGACTTACCCTCTAGATCCTTCACCAGCTTCATTGCCCTTCTCTGGACTCACTCCAGCACCTTAATGTCCTTCTTGCAGTGAGAGGCCCAAAACTGAACACAGGATTCAGAGTGCAGCCTCATCAGTGCCAAGTACAGACAACCAGTGCCCTAGTCCTGCTGGCCCCACTATTGATGATCAATTGGTCTTCTTGGTCACCTGGACACACTCTGGCTCATGTTCAGCTGCCGTGATCCAGCACCTTCAGGTCCTTTTCTGCCAGGCAGATTTCCAGCCACTCTTCCCCAGGCCAGTAGCACTACATGGGATTGTTGTGACCTAAGTGCAGGACTCAGCATTTTGCCTTATTGAACCTAGTACTGTTGGCCTTAGCTCATCAATCCAACCTGTCCCTCTGCAGAGCCTTCCTACCCTCCAGCAGATCCACACTTCCAGCCCTACTGCCATCTACAAACTTACTGAGAGTGCACTCAATCCCCTCTTCCAGATCGTTGATAGAGATATTAAACAAAACTGGGCCCAGTACTGAGCCTTGGGGAACTCCACTAGTGACCGGCCACCAACTGGATGTGGCACGTTCACCACCACTCTCTAGGCCCAACCAACCAGCCAGTTTTTACCCCAGCAAAGACTGCACCCGTCCAGCCCATGAGCTGCCAGCTTTTCCAGGAAAATGCTGTGGGAGACAGTACTGAAGGCTTTACTGAATTCCAGGTAGACAACATCTACAGCCTTTCCCTCATCCACCAGGCAGGTCACCTGCTCATAAAAGGAGACCAGGTTGGTCAAGCAAATATAAATCAGGATGGAAATGTCACAACTCATCATAAAACACAATCCCAAGCAACCCAAAAGCACTGGGGGCATTTTTCAGTGGTTGTGACATGGGATATCTCTGAGAGCCAGAAATTGCAATGGTTTCCAAAGAAATACCTATATCTAACACCTTGTTACTGGTCTGTCATCTGTGTTATGAATTCTGTCCACATGGCAGGTGTGGTGTCTGTAGAAACATGTTGGAGAATATGAGTCTTACACAATGCTTTCTGGTGATTAATACTTTCATAGTGTATGGTTTGTAGAATATTTACTGCTTTCTTTTCACAAGTGCTGCCTTTCCAGTTTAGCTTAAAAATGGTGCAATGACCAGGAAGTTAGAGGAACAAATGTTTGAACCATTATCACAGAGAGGAAGGTGCTAATTGAAATGCATAAGAGAGTTGTCATACATTCCAATAACCTTGGTGATAAATCTGATTTTAGGTCTTTTAAATTATTACAAATAATGAAAAACACTGACCAGGAATAACACTACTCTGCCAGATGAAAGCTACTCCAAAATTGTTACAGACCTGGAGGGCAGCAAGACTTTAGGCTTGGTTTGGAAATCACACTTTGGCATTGATCTGCTGCTGCCCCATCCTTGGGTGATAATTTTTTTATCCAGCTCTCTGCCTGGGACTTGAAGGTTGCAGTCCCTGATACCTGTGGTTACAGGCTGCAGTACTAAAAATGGGAGAGTTTGTTGAAGTCATTGGCAGAAGTGGACGGTCCTATCTTCTTCTGCAAGCTCAACATATGGATCTGGATTTTCCGTCTCTTGGAGCCCAGCCTCTAAGGCTGCTTCTTTAGTTTGCAACCCACTTTGCAACCTGGTCCTCCCACATGGAGAAATCAACACAGAATCTGAGCCCCTTGAGGGTGCCACACACACAGAGGCTCAGTGGGGATGCACAAGACACTTGACACAAGTGCAGGAATCCAGCAGAATTTCAGTCCCTCACAGTGCATCTGTCTTCTAGTCCTGGCCCTGCATTCCACCCTACATG